AATTGCATGTGGAAGAGACGCTCTCTGCCTCTCTCATTCTGATTTACTGTTTGCGATGGAACTTCATGGATTATTTCTCGTTCGTATTACAATCAATTACTTGCCGTCTGCAAAAGACTGCCACGTCAAAAGTGATCTGTGGTGATTTAATTACTTAATCGCTTTCATTAATCCCAAACACCACTAACTTTAAAATTTATCAGATTATTATTGTCTCTGGATGTAGGTTGTTCTAATTTTAGGGAAATGCGAAGTTTAGCTCAGGATAAGAAAGAGTGGAGGTACGTGTCCAATCAGTCTTCGGACTGACGACCTTATGATGATGATGATTATTGTCTCTGTGTGCATACAATTATCTAACGATAAAAGGGGCAGATAGCTAACGTAAAGTAATTTCTGATTTATTAATTGTTTAATAAATTATAATAAGAGGTTTTAATTACTCAAATTAGGAGAACGCTTGAAAATTAGATCTTTTGTTCTTTAGTAATCAATTTGTTGTATAAAAGGTAAAATATTCATGTGATGGTAGATAAGGTATCTAATGAGATATAATGCAATTTCCCAAAAGATCAGTAATTCCAGAATTTATCAGAATAACATTTATTATACATTTCAATCTACAACATAGCAAAGAGCTTATTTATTTAACTTCTAACAGGATTTCTGCCGAGTTAGTTGCGAATTACGGCTCCAAATGTCTAATACGAATTGAAAATCGTCCTTGAGATCGTTACATTGGAATGGATGACGTACGTTGTACATACTGGTGAAATAATTTTAATAGTAAATGAGGCATTTAAAGCTAACAAAACCCTGTTAAATAAATCTATACGTAATTTATATAATCTTGGAATAACTAAATTTCTGTCTGCTGCTTCTGATCTCGATGACAAAAAGACCAAAATTACAATATTGAACCTGTGCAATGTCCACGTAGAATATCTATCTTTTTCTCATCCGAAAATGAATTTAACATGACCTACTTACGTTTCTGTTGTATACATATACTTATGTATTCCGTGGTCTGAAAATAACTCGAAAATTTATTTACAATTACCTATACCTAACTTAAATTAACATGTAAAATAACCATGTAGGTGAATAAAACAACAAACACCTGTTCGTTTCTTTACTCATTACTTGAACATTAAGAGCCGTGTAGTCAACATTCAATAAATTATCAAAGCTTTAAGAGGATGATTCCCGAAGCGGTTTATGTATAATGACCCCTAGAGGTCGATTCCGAACTACAGAAGGTCCATGCCAGCGATAATAGAAGTTGTGCTTCATGAGATGCAAATGGGACCACAGGAATAAATCCAAATTAAGCAGGTGGTGATTGAAATTATGATTTTTTACAAATGAAATAATAATTCACATAACATAGGTAGTATAGTTCCTAATGTACTTACGACTTTGAAACTAGGTTTGACGATGTTTTAACTATGGAAGTACCACAGTGGATACCATACAGTGACGTTCAAGAAACGGATCTTGTCAGAATACATATTTAATCGGCTGCAATGAGCTGCTCTGGAAATGATATGAAGGTGCAACTGGCAGATGTACCACAGCCCCTGGAAGATGTCCTAGAGTTGTCAATCGGTTTAAGGTCTTAAGGAAGGGAGAGGCCCAGCAACTTTTCAAATGTCACACGTGATGTTATTAGAATCTTTGGGGAGGCAGCAACAATTCGTAAACTTTGGCTAAATTTGAAGTTGGCGCAAGCAGTGTTACAGACAGGGCCGGACTGACCCGCGATGCAGGGGTGCAAATGCACCCCGGGCCGAATGCCTCCCGGGTCAAACCGGGCATAATGACTCAAAAAATGTGAAAAACAAAAGAGAAATTTGGTTACATCGCACCCCGGGCCAAAATCTTCAGTCCGACTCTGGTTACAGACAAGTTTTACTATAAAATTACAATATAATTCGCCAAAAGTTGTTGATACTTCTATCAAGCACTGTTGCATGATACAGACTTTGTCATACATGTTCTTATGTTTTTATTAAGACTTAACCATCACCGTAGATAATCTTGCCAATAATTGTCGTGAATCACATTATTCGTGGAAAATGTCTGCTTCAATATTCGGCGCCAAAATTTTATTGAGATGACTTTGTGCCAGATTTTTGTCACAACCATCATGGCTGTTACACCTATGGGTATGTATTTGTATAATGCTACCATGGCTAAGCAAATTTTGAAAAGTCTTCCCAATGCCCCTATTTTTTGTGGTTAATAAAAATTTATATGAATGAGATGCATTTTTATCTTTTTAACGATCCTCAAAAAATATACCCTCAAGAATTCGTCTTCTGTTTGAGACTTTTGCCAAGAAACGAACGTGTTTTTGTGTAGGAAGGATTTCCTGGTAAAGTTCAATGGTGTTAAGTATAGGTAGTGTGTTTCACCTATTGTATTGAAAATTACTCATCCATTAACAATGCTCTACTGAGAAAGAAAGTGTCATTTGTCAACTTAACATTGAATACGTTAGTCTTAGTGGAAAAGTAAGATCGAACAATTAAAAGGAAGGTATCTTCTTGGCGCCTTCCCTTTCGGCTACAGTGGAACCATATTTTTCATACTAGAGCACTATTGGTAATGAAATTTGAAATGCATTTCAATTATTAGGTATTATTTTGAAATATCTGTTAAATCAGAAAGCAAAAGAACTTTCAAATTCAATCTACCCATTATTTAAATAAGTTAATTGTTAATATTGCTAACGTATATTTTTGGTCCATGAATTATACCTGTCAGTTACGAAAAAATGGTAAGGGGTTCGAATGATTAGAGAAACATATTTGCAAGGATTTTATCAAAATACTGACTGAAGACAACACTTTTCGCTGGTATATGTACTCCAAGATCCATACACCTACCAAACTAGAGAAGTTCCCGTAGGAACAAACATTTTCTAAATCACTGGTCAAAATATGAATGTGCCAAAATATGAAAGTAGTGGGATGTATGACGGTTAAAATAACCGCCACATCTCCCACATCACCACAGCTACCAGAACCCAACCACCACAATACACAATGGGCGACTCGAAACTATTACCACTACACCCTAGCATCGGTGATCTACCCTGAGTAGTTCCGTTTTAATAGAAGTAACTGCAAATTTTATATTTAAATAGACAAATAAAATATGTTTTCAAACGCCTGTTTCTTTTTACCTGATGTCTTACCTGGTCCTTATATTTTTTAAAACGTTTTTAACGCAAGTGGTTAAATAATTAATTCAACTGATTTAAAAAAAAAATGTAATTAAAAGTTTGTTTTTGAAATATAATACTCCGGATGGGAATGCTACATCCTTTTTCTATTGCACCTATGTGTTATATTTACCCTCTTGTTAGACAAGTGCAACGTGTCCCAAAAATCGCTAGTCCGACTAGAATTTATAGGGAACATGCTCCATGTAGCATGCGGGCCTCATGTGGTTAACGAGGGGCATGCCGATATGGGGATTTCCCCGTAGATTCCTCATGAAAATCCCACCAAAAAAAGTCCCGACTAGAATTTATATGGGGCATGTCCCATGTAGCGTGCAGGCCTCATAGGTAGGTATCATTGCATCAGAATAATTTTTGATGTTTATATTTATATAAGTGGATATTTCTTAAAAATTATCTTAAATAAGTATTTACTAAAATGTTCAGTTTAAATGATAAATTCAAATGGCGCATTTTTTTTTTCTAAAAAATACTCCCCATCACCTGTTGCAGTGTTAGGAGCCTACTTCAATTGCTTAGGGAATGTTGGCTTTTAATTGTTGAATAGTTTTTTTAGGCAATACTTACTTGAACCCCAAATGACGGATAACATTTAAATAATCACAATTGATGGTTAATTTCTAACTTAAAAATTACTTATTGAAAAAGATATATTCTATTACCTTACTGTTACTAAACATAAACATAAGTGGGGTCTATAATTGTAATTAAAATTAATTAAGAGAAAAATTTGGGGGTGCATATGCTTATAGTAAAAACACCTATCTTGAAAAGCGTTTAATGAGTAATAAAAAAATTAAAAATTATTTTGAGGTCATTTTGGCGACGAAATACCCTATTGCACATATAAAAATAATTGTTTTATTATTTGAAAAATTTTTTATTGGCCAATATAATTTTTCCAAACTATTTCCCCTATTTTTCAGAAATAACTACGAACTCCTACCCTAAGTTGATACTGACTCAAATTAGAATAAGAAAAAAAATTTTCAATTCAAAGAAATCAATTTTATATCCTCCTTAGACGCAACCCTTAGGTGATGGTATCCCTCAAACCAAGTTGCAACATTAAATAACGATTTTTTATTGCAAAAATGTGGACAAGTCGTAGTAAAACGTCAATAAAAAATATAAAAGTTTACAAAAATGTCAGGGTTAATTTTAAGCGAGCCCTTAAAGTAAAAAATGCGTATTTAATTTTTATACAAACCTGTGAAGCATTTCCAGGACTTTTATGATTTTAAAGGCCGTCCTGAATGATGTCCTTACGGATCGGACACAAAAAACCCACAATTTTTGAAAGAGGCCCCATAAAAAATTACAAAATGCGCACAAAATTTCTCGCCGTACAGTTCGCGGCCATTTTGAAAATTGCCCTCCCTCGGTCCCCTAACCGCGAAGCGACTTTAACACGTTCAAAGCTAACTTTTGAACCTTAAGGAGTTGAATATCCGTTCTTTTTCGATATAGAGGGATGAAGGAGGGTTCTATTCACTTTTTCAATGCAAAAAACTCAATGAAAGGCCTTATCGGCCAAAAATAATTGCAAAAATTACAATAGGAAGGTCGAATTTCCCCACCATACTGTTCACGAGTTGCCGAAGTGATACGATCGAACGAAGACGTCCGCGAATGTCCTGTCTCTGTCTTAACCGTAACAAGTTCGCGAGTCGGTGCTTTGACGTAGGATGCTCGGTTGCTATGCGCTTTTGCGACTCCGCGAAACGTCTAGTTGTTTCAATACCGTTGATTGGATAGGTGTGTTACATTTCGCGCTGTATTTTAAAAATTTTTGGGCCCCTCGACAAGGATTTCGACCGAACAGGGATTTTCGAAATACATCAGGTAATATGAAACATTTTTATTTCTAAATTTGTTAAGTTATCAAATAAGCGATTGTAAAACGGATTGAAATTTGTACATTTTTTTGACAAGGTGGTTACCTACGTGTAATTTTTAGTGTGACGTTTTAGTTATGTAGTTATTATGTCAGTAACCCATTCAACGATTCTGCTCCCCACAGTGATTTTCCAGACGACTGAGAACGCTAATTAATATTGAAAAGATTTGTAGATGCTTGGCCCATAACAAATAATTGTTGTGTGCGCTTTTCGAAGAGCATTTACAATTTTTCTAATTTTTTTTTTGTTGTAACTGCTACGCAGAAACTGGTCTTTGAATGCAAGGTCCTTCGGCACATATCTGCGTAGTTTCGATATTTTCTGTTTATATTTGGACAGTTAGTTGACAATCGTGGTTGTGTTTGCTGAAGATTTTTCTTGATACGTATTTAAATAATTATCCAAAAAAATATTACCTATCGGTATTTTTTCGCGTTTGAATTGTGCAGTCTATTTTGTGGGTAGGTTAGCACAAGTCGAAACACAGTTCATCACGTGACACCAGATTTTCGATGGAATTTAGGTTAATTTTGTAGATAGGTGCGTTTTTGTTATCAGTTACACTGTTTAATCGTTTTAACAAAGTAACTTTAGTTCATTCAGTTCCACGAGTTCTCATGAATGTAAATATTTTTTTTGGATTACCATCCGCTTCTTCTTTGGTCGTAAACGTAAATGTCTCCAAAGATCGGTTCATTTACAAAATTAAACGCTTTTAATTACGAAATAGATGACATTATCAAAATTAACTTTCAATTCAAGTAAATCTCTGGCTATTTGTTCTCAAAAGATCGCAATGAACAACGAGAAACTATTCATTTCTTTGTAGTTCACCCTCTCACCGTGAGTAAAGGAGTATCGGCTTGAAGTTCATAGGGTCATGGATTCTCGGCGGATGACCTAGAAATTACATTTTTATGTGGCTATCCAAGATATTCATTTCACCCTTTGACATTATTAAAATTTATGAAAGTCAGGAACGTGTTTCATGCTACAAGACCTTCCATGGATCCGTCATGAATACTAGTAGATCAAAATCAAATTACAAATTCCTTTGTGTATAGTGATCTATACATATAAAACGTCAACCAGTCAATTGATTAAAATGAACTCTATTTATTTGGACTCTCCTAATCAACATCAAGCTTCTTCCAGGAAGAGCATAGGTTTTAAGGACGCCTCCCCTCATGTTTTCCAGAGGGTTGTCCCTGTTTTAAAACTTCATCATCTTATGGGTTTAATTCAATTTTTGGCATCTCGAATTCACGTCACTTAATAAAAAAGTTCAAGATGATACCAAGTTGAATTTATTGGGTTTTCCGTGAGAAACTGGTTTTTATTAGTATAGAAGCTGACTTCGTTCTCCTTAATTATCATCTCTTATCTAATCGTACTTTAAATTTTTTTACGGCATCACAAATTGTTTTCATTTTTATTATCGTGGATGATATTGAAAGTCATTGAATCTTGGTGGAATTTGAGCTCCATAATAATTAATCATCATTAGGTGAGCCGTTTGTGTCTTATAATCGATTTTGGAAAAGGAAACTGCAATAATGTTTGCATTAGTTTTTGTGCTTAGTCGATGATTTACAATTCCAATTAATTACCGTTTACATAAGAAAAAATTAGTGAACTCGTGTAAAACGCGTTTTTTACCAGACAAATAATTCTTTAAGCTGTGTTTAGATTTGATTAGAAATAATTAGTTTTACCATGTTCAAGTTAGCAGAAATAACTTTATTTAAATATTTTTATCTTTTATGGTAAACTAGAGCTGCCATTTTACTGTTAATGGCACTGTCACTTGCACATTACAACTAAAAGTACATATCATACACGTGTACCTCTGTTTTTAATTGTGTAAGTATGTTAAGTGTTTAGGAGAACAATTTTAATGTAACAGTGAAAAATGTTACTGATAAAAATTCATTACGCTGTTGTTGGATTTCGCGTTTATCCGTACGTAGAAAATTGCGAAACTGATAAGTAAAATTACTTCTAAATCACTTTGCATATGTATAGTATGGAGAGTTCTTCTCGTTTAACGTGATTGTTTCAAATTTTCATACGCCTGTAGTGTTGCTTGTGTAACACCTTACTGTCCCTATCTCAGTTGAAGTTGATGTTGTTTCACATGAAGTGTATGATGTGCGCAACGCCATAAGCTCAATTGATCTCCAAATAGATCGTTAGCCCCTTGGCTTTTATGTTGTGGTCGAAGAATTTTTAGAGTTGGTCCACTAGTTTTAGAGATTAAGTAGTGTAGGTAAGAAAGAAAACTTTTGGATGTTTCATCATTCCCAGCTAATGCTGGTGGTCGGACAGTACCTCGGGAGTATGTCAGAGGGTAGGGCGGAATGTCGTTGTCAGCATACTTTTAGGAATCGTAGCAATGGGTGGGTAATTCTTGCGGTGAGAAGTATGAGACGAACGAAATGAAGAGAGAAGGGGGAGAGTGATTATATGTCTAATTGATCGAAGGGAATCACAGAAAAACTTGGACCAGGCAAATGAACCCGGAATCAAACCGGTGTTCTTCTGATTGCTATATAATGGTGATGCCAATCGGTGGTTAAGAAGAGCCATGAGTGTTGGATCTCTCTAAAATCGATTTTGTGATTGCTCCAAATAAAGTCAGTTACATTTCAGAGATTGTTTGATCAAGTTTGATGTGTTAACAACCAAAAAATTCACTTGCGTCAGAAAAGAAAATCTTCTGATAGCGTTAATTCGTTAGGTATTTCTTCAAGATTTTCATCTTTTTATCCACGGAGATATAGCTCATGTCCATTAGTATGAACGAAAATAAGTACAGAAGCATAATCACGATTCGGCAATGTAAAATATCAATGGACAAAATATTTTATGATGAAGAACTCTTGCGTAATTCAAGGGACCTAGCAAATGAGACAGCATACCTACGATTGATGTTATTGTAAGCAGATCTGTTCGTCGAATCGTTACATTATCAACCGTAATTGGTCACATTAACCAGAGCCATTCTAATGTCTAAACCAGTTGAGATCTGTGGTCAAAATTAAACCAATCTCATCTACCACAATTAATATGTGACGTTATTATAAGCGAGTATTAATGTTTATACAGTAAACATGTAAAAGAAATTCTGGCAGACAAATTTAGGTAAACCAATACAGTTCCAAGTAGTAAATCCTCAGTTTACCTTTTAAATATTCCAAATGTAAGGGATCTGTAGAGGGGGCCTATGTCAGCAAAGACGAAAATTGAGAGTGTTTGAGGTGTAAATGGAAATCCACAAGAATGAATCATATTTAAACATGTCGTGACCGAAATTTTGGCTTTTCATAAATGGAATAATTCACATAATACAGATAAAGAAATTACATATTTCACCGATGCAACTTCAATAGTAGGTTCTGGGCGAATAAACATATAGATGTATGTAATGCGTTTTATTAAAAATGCATAGTACAATAAATTAAAATAAACAATAAAAATCATAAATTGTTATTAACAAAGGTTTTTTAAACCGAACTAATTAGTTAACCTCGCCAAGAAGCAACGCACGCTGTCATGGTCCCAATTGAGTGAAAGCCGAAAAACTGTCGAACTGATTATTTATTAGCAAAACAGGAAAACCTGGTTGAATGTTCAAAACTACACGCACTTCAAACTATCGACCTACCACCAAACGGGGCTACCTCGGTCTGCTTAGTGAGACATCACGTATACCTTTCGATTAGTAGCTACCCCCTCCCGGTACACCTCTTTGTCGATTTCGTCCAGGTGTTAAAACTTACTAGACTACAGTATTTTTACATCAGAAAAAATTGAAATATGCTCACAAATTATTGAACGCGATGAAGAATTGGAGAACTTCTTGACTCCTTCATGGGGAAGATTCGATATTAGAAAGGCAGGGATCTACCCATATCACAAGCAATTGACACATAGTCTACGAGACAAAAATGTGTGAGGACCATTGTACATGTACATTTCGCATTGTCTGTACCATGGCATCAGACAGACAGATACCTGCAATTGTTTCGTATATTATTCTTGCTTCATGCGACAAAATAAGCAAATTTGCATTTAATTTCTGTTCGTATAGGTATCAGTAAACGAAAGGCATCAGACCGTGTAGTCGGTTAAAATGTATTACAAGTAACCCACACTTTAGCCAATACATATACACTCACGTATGTTTTTACGTAATTTTCACACCGCAGATAGGTGTAATCGGAGGGTCAAACCTAAAAATTTTCTTATCATTTGCAATTACTTTTATGTTTTACACGTTTGTGCACTTTTATTTATCATTTTTCTCATAACCAAGTCATTACAACGGGATTTTGCATCATCATGTATTTCCTACCGGAGTTGACGACAGGTCCAAATCTAAACCAGTAGTGGGAACTACATGAGCATTGGTTTGTCGATCTGAACTAATGTTTGGCCAATAAGTACATTAATGTTTCGCTAGCTTTGGTCCAGTAGTGGACAGCCCAGAATAGGTTTGTCATGCTATGCTTGGTCCAACACTGGAAAATCTTGAGCCAATTTTGGATCAAGCTTTATCGTGTCGCAATTTCCTACATGGTATATGGGAACCTTTCTACTTCATTTCAGAAACAAAGGTGGTTTATGTTTCTTTTGTCACTTTGACACTTCGCTCCCCGGAATATTAAACTTCAAAGTCGTTTCTAATGTGGTCCCTCTGACTTCCAAATAATGGGTAGCTTCAATTAAAATTATTTGGTATCGTATATTTTTGGAGTAATTAATTGATAATAGCTTCTGAATCCTATGTGATAAATTGTGACCTCAGCATGCTTATAGGAGAGCTAATGATCACAGTCTCAATTATTTTTTACTGTACATGTCATCTTCGTCCTGTATTGTATGTAAATTCGACGTATCCAGGTTATGGCAACGTTTATTTCACTCATATAATTGAAATAG